TTTTTTATGAACAAGGTTTTATTGATCCACTTTAATGTATTTATTATATTGGCTCTGATGCTATTCTTTTAGTCCCCTTCTGTCTTTCTTTCTGCTATTACTAATATAACAGTCTACTAGGTTGTACAATTTTTTTTAAAGTGACTATACTGAAAATGTTACATAATTTACATTACACTATTTACATAAAATGATTGCCTCTATACAAGTTAATTAAAATCTGCCGTTCAGTTACAAATAGAATTTGCTCTATTAGAAACAGTATACTACATTAAACACATCACTTCATTCTATTAAATATGCATTAAAGTTCCTAAAAAGGAAATGCAGAGACTAAAGTATTTATGTTAGGAACCATGAATTAGCTTAAGGAAATCAAAAACTTTATGCTATTTTAAATCAATTTGTAATTAGCTTTTATTAGACTGGCTGGACCTACCTTAGATGTACAAGTAATAATATCCACTTTCCGATGTACAGAGGTTATCCCCTCAGAGAAAACTGACTGAAAGATAATACACTGTGCACGTTCTGCAAAATTGGGTATCTGAGATAACTCATATAAAAACCTGTGAAAATGAGAACTACAGTGTAACACCAAATCTCTGTACAATTGCATCTTAATACATTATATGTCAAAACAGAAGTGTCAGAGAAGCCGTATATAAAATGGTCTCTCTCAATTTTAACTGAAAAAAAAGAAATCCAATAGAGCAAAATAATTTTTCATGTTCTTTGCCACAAGTTCTATGAACATACGGATGAGAGAAGAAATGCATATTACCAGCATCAAAGCTCCCTGGTAACAAGTAATTAGGAGATGGTTCTGAAAACATAAGATATTGGGCCACATCACAGGCAAGGTACAGACATTCAAAAACTCCAAGCCAGTCTCAATCTAAGTGCTATGGTTTTCTGGAAGTGCCATAGTTTAGACTGGTAGTGAACAGAACACACGCTTGCCCTTTGGTGGGGGGCAGCGATAAAACTTAGACTGGATTCCACCATTTTTAAATTAGTGTGTGTGTGTCCCAAACTTCTGTTTTGTTATGGGTATAGACCAGTTTCTGATCACTTATGCCAGTAAAATGTAATGTCTGTACCTGGCCCTAAGGTCTGCCTTGTGAATGAGGGAAACACTGCCTTCTACTGGAATAAAGACAGGTCTATATGTCGAGGTGACTGAATGAGGTCTGCTGGATAAAGAGTGCAAGAGAATCCTAAAAAATAGATATGGAAGATACCTTTATTTTATTTAACCCAGTGCTTCCCAAAGTGTTCACTATCCCTTATTTTGGAGAGTGCAAAGTTCTCTTCAAGGGTCTAGGACATGTCTAAATGAAATGGGTTAATTTTTAATGACATATGCAAGGCTGAAGGGATATATGCCACATTTTATCCTTACAAGACTTTAAAAAGTTGAGAAATTTTGGTATAGTCTCTCTGCCAGTTTTGGAGGGCTTTTGAAACTGAAATCCAGGAAGTGGCTAAGAGACCTTTTTCTTGAAATCTGTATAACTATGAAGTAGGAGAAACAAATTAAAAGGACTGGAAAATAGATAAAGCAGCTATATTTGGTTAGAAATCTCTCTTTTATGAAATTCTGCACAGCCTGGAAGAAAATTACTATTATTTAGTACACTTATTAGTTCATTATTTAGCCCAGCTTTTTACATATGACAAGTAATATGGCACTTAACATTTTCTCTAAGACTATATCACAGTATCAAAGATGTTTTGGTGAAGAAGTTTCCTCAGAGTTTTCCTTTTCCAAATTGCATCACCATCTCCAAGAGTATAACTGTGTGCTCCAGTCCTTCACCTCATTTAAGTATCTGTTGACTTATTCAGTTATTATCTAGCAGATTGCACACATTTTGCTTTCAGTCTTTCCTCATAAATCAATCCCATATTAGTGGCTCTTCTTTGAGCTTTTTAAATCATGAAGTGGCCAGAAATGAACATGTTATTCCCAATATTGTCAATTACAAGCACCCAAGAAACCTGTGTTCCAAAATATAACGAGACTGAATTAAAAAATGTGAAATATTTTTACAAAATATTGACTTCTTTTCACCCACTGGTTTTTGAGCCTTTAAAGCATATTCATTCATTTTTTATGACCCGTCTCTGAAACCACATTGGCTTGAAACTTATTTTTTCTATATGAAGTTTGGATTTTCATGGAGTCTTGATTCCTGAATATAGGAAGATTTCTGTTCCTATCAAAAGTCAATAGTGATATGCCACAATATGACAGAGACAAAAAAGGTTCAGTGCCATTATCTGGGAATAAGCTAACGTTTTACTTATAAAGAACAGATAATTCCCTTTCTCCAGTCAATAACATGCATAGTAAAGATGCATGGTATGGCATTGTACTACCATTTCCCTATGTACTAATGGTCTCATAACTAGAACTAGAGAGACTACATTACAGCCAAAATACAGTACATGGAAGCTAGCTAAAGCATCTGCCACCACCAAAGTCTTACGTTGTGGTCAACTGCACATATAAATCTTAAATGCTGCAATGACTATTAGCATTTTAACAACTTTTATTAAAAAAAGTTTACGGGGATATTGCCATATTGCTAAGATATATTTACAGTGTGTGTCAACAATAGCAAATATAGTGTGCCAGGAAAGCAAATCAAAATCACATGTGAATGAGGGCATTGTTGATATCAGCAAAACTTTCTATTGATCTAGAATGCCAAAACATTTAAAGTTGGCAAACCTTCCTTCAGACTGAGAAGAATTCAGCCCAACAGTTACAAGGCACTTTGTATGCAAACTGTTGTTAACATTTGTAATCATTTAAAAAACAAAAACAAAAAAAACCCATGGTATTTCCTTTTTAACTTTGTTCTGATACTTACTAATGAAAATGTAATCAGGTTTATCCCTTGCAGTAACTAATTATAATCTGTGTAAAAAAGGATCGAATTAATTTGTCCTTAATCTTGTGGGATGCCATGCTTAAAATGTAGTTCCAACAAAAGCATCAGGTCTGTGTTTATTGAGACTGACTGGAGAACTGTAAAGCAACTGTTGATTTACTGAATTTTCAAAGTATAGTATTTTGAATGACCAATAAAAATAATATAAGAGCATCTCTGGTGGACTGCTTCATCATGAAGCAAAATTTGAGTAAAAAAAAGTTTTATTTTTCCAATAAGAGAGGAAGTTATGGGATAATTAAGTGAGTTTTTAAAATATATTTGGAAAAGAACTGGAAGTAGAGGAGAATATAGTTTTATTCTAAATGACCAGAGATAGTTTGTTCCTTTAAAATCTCTTATTTTTAAATTTCAGAACAATGATAGCATAAAACTGACTGTGTGATTAATGAAGACCAACCTCTCCCCATTGTGATTTACAAAAATGGGCACAGCCTCCTATAACTCTGGAACTTTAGGCATGATTCATATGTTCCAGGACATAAAACACATTTATATTTATTTTACCCAGAGGTACTGCAAACAGGTTGCCAAAAATTCAAGCTCTGGAAAACATCAAGTAGTCACATTGTACCCTTATGTTATAGGCCCAGGCTCACTCGAGTATGGTCAACTAAAACCCATAGACACATCATGAACGAGCGAGCTAGTGTATGAATGTGAGGAATATCCATAGTTGGAGGTCCTAACATATGAGAGAGAGTTCTGGTCCCCAGCATTAACCTGCTCCCCAAAGCAGTGCATGGTCAACTATCAGCAGCAAGTGCTCAGTTTAGCCTGAGGGTGGGGAAAACAAAAGTGTCTGCCCTTTACCATGAACCTCTATCCTTATAAAAAAGGAAAGGTGTAAAACTAATATTGCTTTTGATATCTGAAATCCTGAGCAATCAAATGCCAAAGCCATTTCTGCTGCCTCCATTCTTCTTTTAATAATCATGCTCTTCCACACAGTGCTCTGCTCTAAGATGAGCAAGGAACAGTAGAGTTGTGAGGGGAAAAGAAGAAATGATAGAGGGGCCTTTAAATGGGAGTACAGGTAGTGGAATGGCGTGGAAAGAGCGGAGTGGAGGCTAGTGGAGAGTGAGGAAAGCAGCAAGATGGGAGCAGAAGCCAATGTAAGGGATAAAAACTGGGACTGGGCTCACATATTATGATGGTAGGCAGAAATATGATTCTATCCAAGGATTCTGGTGACTTGAGCATTAGTTTCAGGGCATATCACAACAGTAACAACAATGGCAACCTTTCATTCTGGGACATGTTGCTGCTTTACAAACTTTAAATTCATCCTTAGTATTTCTGAGAGAAACATGAGTATTTTAAAGATGGGAGACCACCGGAACAGAAAACATGACCAGGAAGGATCACATAGTAACATCAGTATATTTAACTAGTGGCACCTGTTGATGCAATGTTACAGGTAACATAAAAAGTTTTTGCATCCCGTCTTGATATGTGGATTTTTAACAACTAACCACCCAGAACTATATTCCCAAACCCCCTCAGCCTGGTAGCAAAGAACCATTCAGAATAATGCAAAAGTATTTCAGAAAAAAAATCTTACTGTTCTGGCTTGTCCAGGAGCTTCAGTTCTTCTTTTTTTGAAGTCTCATAATGCTGTTTTATTTTCTCCAATTCATCTTTTTGTGCTCTCTGAGCAATTAGAAACCAGAAGAAAGAAACTTCAATTAATAAGAGGTCACAAATAGCACCTAAAAAAACCCTTTGCATTTACTTAGTTTCTTGCCTTCGTGTATTCTGTTTACAGTAGTGCGATAAATAGTGAGTTTCCATATACTCAGCTTGCATCAACCTCTTATTTATGGTGGTGCTGGTAAAGTTTTCTTAATTTGGTACAGTCAATAATGGCAATAACTTCATAACCATATAGTGCTATTCATCTAATGATCTCAAAGCATTTCTTAATAAAGATGGGGTTCATCCACACAACATACAATAGCGATCAAGGAAATGAAATGATCAAAAGCCTTTTAGACAGTCTCAAAATGTGTCTTATTGGTCAAATCTTTTGCCTCTTTCATTTACATTGGCTTTACTTTAAACTCAGTGTTTGTTTATTTATTTTAATATACATTTCCCCTATTATAAATTTTAACACTACTGTTTTTCCTCCAAATTTTGGAAAGAATTTATCTGTAATACAACTTATAATTATCCAGGATTCCTTATCAGTAATTTTTCACATTTCCACAAGCTTCTGAAGTATAAAGGTGAGTTAATGTTAAAGATAAACCTCATGCTACACATGCTGTTCTCTGTATGGCACTTCCCTTATTTCTCTGGGTGATTTAGACCAACATCAGTGTATTCTGCTTACACAATAGTTCCAGAGAATATAATTTGCATTTCTTTTTCCACAATTTTGACTTGCCTACTAAGTAACTTATATGATTCCATAAAGGAACCCAAAAATTTAATACTAAAAAACACAAGGTTGACTTGAATCAATCACCATTTTTATTCATGATTTAAACTAGCAAACAAGAAACCTCCAGAACCAGCTGGTAGGCCCAATCCTCTGCATTGGGTGGGTGTGGTGGGGCCTGATCCAGCCGTGCAGAGGGGGTGGGGAACATGATTGGGCCTTGATCCAGCTGCATGGGTGGGAAGAGGGGCCCCCCATCTCTAATCCAGCTGCATGGGAAAGAGGGGCCTGGCCTAGCCCCAACCAAGCCACACAGGGCTTGGGAATTTGGCAGCAGGGGAGAGATGGTAGTAACAAGAGTCATTGCTTCCCCTCTGCCAAGTTTCCTGACCTGTAGACAGTTCTGCAGCCCAGATATCTTGGCTCTGTGGGTCAGATTTGGTTCATGGGCCATGGCTGAACACACCTGCTTCAAATAATTGGTATGTATCTTCTTTTGCATTTATAGTCTTCAATTACTTTCCTAAAGAAAAGTTCATTCTCTTTCACTGGTAGAATTTAGTAAAGTTAAGTTAACTAGGAAGATAACTACATATATTATTTTAAGCAATTACAGCATTTACTACACATTTTCTGAAGATTGTTCATTTTTTATTTTCACCTTTAGAAAATGAGCAACAACATATTTCTTATTTATTACATAGTAATGGCTTTGCTCCTGATTTGTGTTAAGATAGAGTTGAATTGAAACTGGAATTCAATAAAAATATCTAAAGTGCATTTTAAAACTGCTTTTGTTAGTATAGTAAAATACCTTAAATATACAGAATACAGAAAGAAAAAAGGTTCATCAAAATATGTTCTACTTTTCAAACTTTGATTTATTAAATAAGATAAATATTATCGATATTTAGAGACATGAACAGATTTTTCTGATCTTACCCTCCAAAATTTTTGGACTTTTCATGCTTTGTGTTTATTCATTAATTTCCTACTTTTTAGGCCCTAAAATTTCCTACTTTAAATTCTCTATCAGTTTCTCTACTTTGAACAAACTAGCCTTTGATCTGAGCTAGCTGTACAGTAGAAGCTGTGTTGTCTACACAAACAGAAAAGGCTATTGATATCAACAGCTGATTTTCTGTTTCAACAGGCTCACATTCCAGGTACTTAGCCAGTGATTTTCATTACTTCTGTGGCTTGATTCTTTTAAAACTGTGACAGCAAACATGAAAATGTAGTGCTTAAATAATTACAAATGATGGAGACCCCTTTTTCATAGTGAACAGGACAGAGATACAGAAACCCATGCCCATACTCATTGGATTTAATGTTTCTACTTTCATTTTATAGTTAAATTTTGCATCTGAATTTTTTAAATCTGAAGTAGTGTTAGAGTGATGTTATAGCAATAATGGTCCATGAATAACTTAAGAATTCTTTTTATGAGATATCTCCCATCTAAAATGATGAATTAAACACAACTTCATTCATTTTTGAGTACAGTTGTACCTGGTAAAAATCTCAAATTATGAGTGTTGAACTGTTTGGATGATGTCATTTCTTACCATACTTACATTCTCATACAGTGCTTCAAGAGTTTCCTGGTCCACTACAGAGTCATCCACATTTAGTATAGCTGTAAAGGATTAAACAATTAATTAGATTCTAAAAACCTACTTTGAGTTGCCTTCTATTGCCTTAGAGACATACCACACAGATATTTGAAGGTCAAAATTCTGCCTAAGCCTAGATGTCTCAATGGACTAGTGCAGATAAGGCATGCCATTTTCTGTAGCTGGACTGATCAGGGTCCTGCCAAGTCAGTTGCTCAGCATTCTGGATAGCTTGGAGAGCTGGTAAACTGACAGCTAAGTGGCAACCCAGGAAGCTACCTGATACACCCAAGACCTTTGGTACTCAGACTATGGGAAGGCAGATAAAAGAGGGAGATGGGCATCAATACATTCCCCTCAAATGTTTCAGTTTCACCAAATCAGCATTTTCCAACAGAAAGATGGTCAATCTGCAAATTTCCAACCACTACAATAGAAGGTCAGCAGATATTGCTCCTATTTTTTTCCAAAAAGGAAAGGGTCAAGATAATTTCTAAGGCAGATCTGGATTTCATGGCATTATTTATTTCTAAGATTTTTAGCCTCACTGCCATTTACATTTAAGCATTGAGTTACTACAGTTCAGAACTAAATCAAATTGAAGGCATCAGGTGCACTCTGAACTGAACACCATCTGTTAATAAATTCAGAAACTTTGGAAGTGATTAAAGAACTTGCATTTTCTTTGAATATAAAACATGCTCAGGCAGAGAACTTTCAGGTGCTTTGAATATAAAGCATTTCTTTAGGTTACAATAGATTTAGGAATATTAATAACATAATCATCAAAATTAAATCTTCAGCAGTTTATGTGGTCACTGAATTCCCATTAACTGGCATCCTGTATCTCTTCATTTCAGCTACATTAGATTTCTTCACTTTATGTGGGAAGAATTGACCACTGGTGATTTAAGTTTTAAAAAGCTCTTGCCACAGTTGCCATCCACACTGTTTGAAATAGGCAAGGCTCACATCTTTAAATAATTATTCAAAAGTAATAAGTTTCTCCTTCTCTCTCCTACCCGACAATTTTACATTGTGAAATTAACCAGCAGGCTAGTAAATTCTCTTTGTGGCAGACTAATTAATTTTATTAAAAAGGCCAATGACATTTAGAATGCTTTAAAATTTTGCCTGTCAATTATGATTCCATCTGCTGACATTACATACTGAATAAAGAAGAGTAGTAAAAGGAAGAAGGGTAATTTTTACTTCTATTTTGTCACGTATTCTGTAGAAAAGCAGCCAAATGGAAACAAACAAACAATCAAGCAAACAAACTCCAACAACCCTGAAAAGCTAACTATTGAACAAATATACAGTCCTCTCCTGTAAAAATACCATTAGTAATGAAGACTGCCAAATCATCTCTCTGCCAAAGCAAGGTATCATCTGCCAAATAATGTACACTATCTACCATATTATTTAAACCAATTTCAAAGGGTCCTAAGAGAATTCCTGGCCCATCTGGGGATACACATGTTTGTCTTTTCAATTGCTTTTTATAATATGCACAAATGCATAATTCAAACTGGAATATTCATTTGAAATGAAGAAATCTATCACCTTACAATGACTTAAGGAAGTCAAGTGCAACTAGTTATCCGGTTGACAAAGTGTAGAACTAATGACAGACCTCATAAATATATACAAATATGATAAATTGTGCCTGGTAGTGTAAAAAACCAGAACAGTACAAGAAAGATAAAGTACAAATCAGTACAGGCATTATATTAGTTTTGACAGTTTTTGCTGGGTAGTTTATTGGATGGTAACAGCATTTTATCACTAGCACTTTCCATTTCAAATGCATATACTAAATACTACTGTTTGATTGTGTAACTAGCAACAGTTATAATAACCAATTATATTAATATAAAATGACAGAATTAAGCCCACCACTGAGCCAGAAAAGTTCAAATGTAATAATACATTAAATAAACGCATCTAATAGTTAAACTTATAAAACACATTCTGGTATGCAAGTAAAATGTAGAACTGAATCAATAATAATTGCTAATACATTTCATCAAACAAACATGATAACAGTTTATCCTTCAGCACAGCTGATTATTTGTATTCAATAACAAAGAAATATTTTCTTAGTTACAATGCCTCCAATCCTACAGTTTATTACCAATACACAGGCTGACTGCTTTGTTTGCACAGTATCAGCTGAACAGGGACTTGAGACAGATTTTTTTCAAGTTATTCAGACATGTAAAGGTGCAGATAAATTTATAGTGAAATTCTCTCAGTTTATTAGGTATCTATCCATGTTTGAATAATTTCAATAAGAGTACCTATTCACCACTGAAATCTGATTAATTGACTGTATTTGTCTTCATAAATCTAAATATCTTAACTTGGCACTATACTTTTTTTTAAGTCACAGTAAACAGAGTTAACAGCATGTATGTTGGAAACACTGTACAAAATGGAGAAATATACAAGTGTGCTAATTGGCTTCGTTTCCTAAAAGAATTCAGATTCTGGAGAGAGAGGGCTGACACCTCTATTTGACAGGTATAAGATATATGAACTACATAGATCCTTCTTAGATGAAAACAATAAAACCAGTGTGCTGCATAAACCAATTTGAATGGATACTATCTACAAATATTGATTACAGTTTAAGAAACAGGTATTCTTTTTATTTTTTCTTTCAAACCAGGTGGGCAGAAACACCTGATCTTCTTGAAACAAAAAACAGAAAAAAGTAAAATAAAAAAGAAATCTACCACCACCTAAATGTGGAAAACAAACAAACAAACAAACCATCTAACTTATCAATCAGTTATTTTTAAAACAACCAAACCAATCATTTCAGCAAAATACTGTTAGCTTAATTGAATGCATTAAATCTCATTATACTGAGACTTGCATGTAGGTGCAAGTTATAAACGTAAAAACCATAAATCAACAACAGAGGTTCCAAAACAACTAATAGCTACTGCAATATCAGTCATCATTGGTGGCGTTTACTTTTATCTTGCTTTCTAGTTAGCTGCTCCCCTTACACTGTCAGTTCAGTTAGAATATTTCACCTACACCTCACAATATGTCGAAAGGAAGCAGACTCATGCTGTGAAAAGCTGGTAATTTTATTGGGTTCCTTTACCTTTAAAAAAATCTGTTACTTGGCCAAGTCTGGTTTCTGAGCTCCTTTTTTGCAGGGAAATTGAGGCAAACATTTTTATGTGGCTCTATGGTGTCTGCTCACAACAAGAAGAATTTATATACACAAGGGTCATTAGCGCAGTGTTGCACCCATTAGTATATAATAACCGTCAGTGAGGACAAAAAACAGATCAGCATTGCACATTCAAACTAACAGACATGCATAAAAATACTTGCCAACTACATTTCACATGCAGAGGGTATTCTATGAAGTATAAACTTTTATCCAAAGTTTTAACAGATTTACTTTTTTCACTTATCCAACTCCACTGTAAATGCTTGGGTTTTTTTCTATTCTGACGCTTTATTTTTTTTCATTCTAAAAAGGCTGACCTAAGAAAACCAGGGCAATATTCAAAGCATGCCATGAACTGTGCACAGAAACTCAGACAACTGTCAATCTTTAAGATTTAGTACTAAAGAGATATTTCTTTCCTCTTAATTACCACTGCTTAGAGACATATTATGTATTACCAGCATATTGAAGTCTGATTATAAGTGTTACTATTGCACTTTACAGGGTATTTGACTGACAAGAGATCTGCTAGGAGAATGTATCTATTTAGCAGCAGCAAAGCAGTTAAATAGGACACAATTTAAAAATGTGAATAAAATAATTTTAACAACAACACTTTAATAGGCAACTGGAATTATGTCACAACTGTTCAAGGTTATATCTACTTGGCCAATGAAAGATTTAATTATTTAATATGGTTAAGTACTGGAAATAAAAGTTTGGTTCCAAGGAAAATGAAGCCCATCTTAGGAAAATTTGAATGAAGATGTTTGTGATTCAGGTCAATCAGAAAGTTATTTTGATTGTTTAGGACCAACTTCCTCTTGGCAAAACTGCCCAAACATCCAAACACCTCCTGCTTATTTCAGACAGATTGAACTGACACTCTAAACTTATTTAAAGGCTTTCTTCAGCATCTCATTTTCTGTCATACAAATTTGTTAAACAATTTATGATGCAAAGCACCACAGATATAATGTGGGTTTAGAAGGTTAGGGAAACTCAACTGCTGCATGAAGTCATGAGCAAAGGACTCTGGCACTAACGTTAACCTAACCACATCAGGCTCAATGCCCCAGGCAGATTCACAAAAACATATGTTGTAAATTATCCAGAACAAAGGAAATAACTTTTAAAGGAAATTGTTTCCCAGTTTCTGAGATGTGTACATATCTATCTCCATATTGCACAAATACATACATACAACATGCTACACACAGTGAAGAAATTAAGCATTTACACAGTTATCTAAAACAATATAGCTTTTAATTATTTTATAATCTGCATTACCATTTTGATATTATTTTGCTCGAAACCACATTAAAATTATTTTTTTATAGTACAAGTAAGATCTGACTCATGATTTCCAAAGTGTACAACTTAACCTAGAAGCATTTTAATTCTAAAACATAATAAGGAAAAATAATATATCAGTATGTTTTGCAGAATTTGGTTGAAACATGGTATAGGAGTCAGGAGATCTGGGCTCTGTGGTTATCAGAGAGGTCACTAAGGGCCATATTCACACAGGATTATGTGCAGAACACTTCTGCTGATTTCACCTAAAGAGGATCTGGGGACATTTTTCCATTTTGTAAAATGAGAGTGATACCAATGAACCATTACATAGAGGTTTTATGAAATTTATTACATTAATGTTTGTAAAGTGTCTTATGGCCCCCACATGAAAGTATTTAACATTATATATACACCTATTAATATTATACTTACTTATAGGAAATATGGTATTTAAGCATTCAAACAAATTTGCCTAGTTATTTAACAATTTCCCTGTTTGCTAAAGTTTAGAAATTACCTCAGGAACAC